TCATCCCAGGGATGCAAGGATGGTTCAACATATGAAAATCTATCAATGTGATCCACCATATAAACAGACTGAGAAAAAAACACACATGATCATCTCATTAGATGCCAAAAAAGGCTTTGACAAACTCCAACACCCCTTCATGATAAAGGTCTTGGAGAAATCAGGGATAACAGAAACCTACCTAAACATAATAAAAGAAATATACAGCAAGCCAACAGCCAATATCAAAATAAATGGAGAGAAACTCGATCCAATGCCTCTAAAATTGGGGACAAGACAAGGCTCTGCACTCTCTTCCATACCTCTTCAATATTGTCCTTGAAGTCCTAGCTAGAGCAATAAGACAACAAAAGGAGATCAAGACAATACAAATCGGAAATGAAGAAGTCAAACTCTCACTATTTGCAGATGATATGATAGTCTACATAAGTGACCAGAAAAACTCTACCAGGGAACTCCTACAGCTGATAAACACCTTCAGCAAAGTGGCAGGATACAAAATTAACTCAAAAAAATCTGTAGGTAACACTAACCAAAACACTCTCACTGTTTGCAGATGATATGATAGTCCACATATGTGACCGGAAAAACTCAACAAGACCTGTACCATAAGAACTTTGAGTCTCTAAAAAAGAAATTAAAGATGATACTAGAAAATGGAAAGATCTCCCATGCTCTTGGATAGGTAGGATCAACATAGTAAAAATGGCAATCTTGCCAAAAGCAATCTACAGATTCAGTGCAATCCCCATCAAAATCTCAACACAATTCTTCAAATTCCTTGAAAGAACAATTCTCAACTTTATATGGAGAAACAAAAGACCCAGGATAGCCAAAACATCCCTATACAATAAAGGAACTTCTGGAGGCATCACCATCCCTGACTTCAAGCTCTATTACAGAGCTATAGTCCTGAAAACAGCTTGGTATTGGCACAAAAATAGACTGGTATACCAATGGAATAGAATGGAAAACCCTGATATTACCCCACACACCTAGGAACACCTGAATTTTGACAAACAATCCAAATTTATACGATGGAACAAAGAGAACATCTTCAACAAATGGTGCTGGGATAACTGGTTGCAGACATGTAGAAGACTGCAGTTAGACCAAAGCCTATCGCCTTGCACAAAACTTAAGTCAAAATGGATCAAAGATCTCAACATAAATCCAGCTACACAGAACCTATTAGAACACAAAGTGGGAAATACCCTTGAATTAAATCGGTACAGGAGACTGCTTCCTGAACATTAAACCAGTAGCACAGACACTGAAGTTAACAATTGATAAATGGGACCTCCTGAAACCGAGAAGCTTCTGTAAGACAAAGGAGACAGTCAGCAAGACAAAAACAGCAGCCCACAGACTGGGAAAAGATATTCACCAACCCCACATCTGACAGAGGGCTGATCTCCAAACCATACAAAGAACTCAAGAAGCTAGTCCCCTAAACACCAAACAACCCAATTAAAAAGTGGGGGTATAGAACTGAATAGACAATTCTCAATAGAGGAATCTAAAATGGCTGAAATGCACATGAGAAAGTGTTCAACATCCTTAGTCATCAGGGGAATGCAAATCAAAACAACTCTGAGATACCATTTTACTCTTGTCAACATGGC